CATTCAGGGCTTCGCCCTGATATGAGCAGTCTTGTTTTATATGGATTTAAACCAGTATGGAATATCAATGATACAACAATACTGATACAAATTGATAAGTGATCACAACTGATGCAAGTTCCATTTCGAAAATACTTACAACTAATTAGAGACACAAGTTAGTTTAATTAGTAAAATATAACATCGCTGGTATCCTCAACTTCTTCATCGATTAAACAAATATATTTTTTAAATAGCTGTAATTGTACCTGTCCCTTTGACCGACAAAAAAAAACAAAAAATAGGTGAAATTTTTAAAAGGTTTGTAAAATTATTCTCCACGAAAAAAAAATATTCAAATAAAAAATATGCATATAAAAAATATTTATCTTGAGCAGGGGCGGATTTAGGGGGGGGGGGGGGGGCGGTGGGCGGACGTTCCCTCCTCAGGGCTTCGACCCCCTGCCGACCCAAAGGGTCCCCCTTTAGTACTTTTTAAGAAATCCATTTTTTGCCGACTGAACCTAAAATTTTTCTAAAGGCGCCTTGGGCGCCAATATATACTAACTTTGAGGGGGAGCGCGCGCCAAAAAAAAACGCTATTTTTATGTCAAACTTTTTCAAAACCTGTTATGACCTATTTTTTCAAAAATTTGCCTGCGGCGCAGAAAATTTGACAAAACAGGGACCTTTTAGTGCTTTAGAAGAGCTCGGAAAATCAATTTGGTCGAACTAAAAAAAAAGGTCGTCAAAATTTTCGAAAATTTTTTGAAAATCCGCCCCCCCCCCCTCGAAAAAATCCTAGATCCGCCCCTGATCTTGAGGCAAATCAGTCGCAATGATTGTGATGGCAATATTTGCTTGTTGAGCTACTGAACTTCGGCGGATTCATATATTAATTAGTTATAGACCAGCCATTAATTCTTTGTCTGACCATCTACGAACAACAGGAAAACTGTGTGCGGCCCATGGGCACATAATCACAGTAACCATAGGCTAATTGCAAGCAACAAAGCAGATGTCTTGGGTAGGACAAACTCATCGTCAACTCTTTCGGGTTCTATTCGAGCATTTTCAACTGATCTCCAAAATTTTTCATTTCGTGCTTGCTCAAAATACGTTTCAATAGCGCATAAAGCTGTATTTTAGCCATGCTGGAAGTACGCTCGACTTATGTTTCATAAGTTGTGGTGGTAATGGTTGTTTGTTTCCTTTACTGTTATCGGAACCAATTTCAAGCATTCGCGAGATATGATTTTTTTGCTCGAGACACATTTCTACCGTGCTTGAGGTATCATTCGGCCTTCTCAATCAATTTTGGTCAAAAAGGTCATACTTTCTTCCAATGAAACTAAAAGTTTTTTGACCCGATTGATCGATTTGAGGTGAAAATATATTCTTATGCAATTGCGGCCATGGGTAAAACATTTTCCGCTATAAAAGGAACTAAGTTCCGGGGTTCCAACGCAGCAGCTTCCAACAGGAAGTAACCTAACTCAATTGTGTAAAAATAGATGATCAGTAACCGTGTGGTTAATCACTTTGACCATTCTCATGGCATCTTTCGATTGCAGTAATTGAATTCTGTTTCATCTGTTCTCTAGGTGTACTTGGGCCGTGCTTAAGGTGTAATTCAAGTGTTTTTGAGGTACTGTCTTAGCAAACTCGCCGAGTTTTCGGACGTGTTCGGCGTATTAAAAATTTTAGAGAGAGCAAAGGCAGAGGATCTACTGATGGATAAACTTGTCAATACAGGTTATCCATTCGGTCGCTCAAAATATGTGATTAACTGAGCCATTTATTCAATATGTAACCTCGAGCAACATTCGAGTAATTTGTTTTGATTTTTCATGAAAATTAGAGACGCAAAAAAAAACGTTTTGTTGTGACAGTTTTTAGGCCAAAAAAGAATCTTTCAAAAGATCTTTAGCTAGTTGTCGCGGGATGTAAATACACGTAATTTGCGATCCTTGGATGATATCTGGCCTCTATTCATCTATACTAATTAATTATACCGGAATTTTGTTATCAGTATCCAAAATTTGAATTATTTGATTATAATCAAGGGCGGATCTAGGATTTTCTCGAGGGGAGTTTTAATTTTGTCGACTTTTGTAGGTCAACCAAATTGGTTTTTCGAGATACCCCAGAGCACTAAAAAGATCCTGTTTTGGCAAAATGTTCTACGCCGCATTTTAGGCGTTTTAGTCTCTTTTTGGAAAGTTTTCATAAAAAAATCGAGTTTTTTTAGGCGCGCACTCCCCCCTCAAAATTAGTATATATTGGCGCCAAAGGCGCCTTTAATATGGGCAAATATGGGTGGGATGCTGGGGGTAAAGATGCTAAGCGGGTTATAAATGTGCGAGGTTTAAAGGTCAAACCTCCCACACACACACCAACCCATTTTTATCAAAACCCCCAGAATGCGAATAATTTGGTGTGGTGTGGGGTGGAAGTGAATGCATAGTGTTTGTGTCTTGCGTGTGAGGGGGGGGGGGGGTTGGATAAAACAGGCGGATTTCATTTGGATTATAATCGACTATGGAGTTGAAAGAATTTTGTTTTTGCAGGAATAGTAGATTGTAATATCAAAATAATCAATTTTATGGTCTAAAATTACAACGATATTGGATAATAATGACAATGTTCAGACAATATTTTCCAACACTATAGCTTCAGGGCCATCTGTTATTCACAATAATCGTTTATTATCAGTACCTTGCTAATTGGTGGTAAAAACTGATTGACAAATATATACAATTAGTGTAGAGGAATTCGACATTTTGTTCCCATGTATCTTTTTGACGATGAGAGAATTGGTTCAAACTTAATTAGAGTTGTATCTTTCGGAGCTTGCAATTGTTGTCAAACTATATACGCATCATTCAGTTGCAATTCCAAACTTCATCAAAAGCGATTGGACTGTCGAAAACATCCAAAAACTTTCTGCTCTCGTCCATTAGATAAAGACAAAAGAAACACTAGGGGTTGAAACAAATGCTAGACTTACGCTTTCACTTTGCTGAGAAAGCATTTCACACATCCAGAAAACTGTCTGATAACTCTACGACTAACATATTGTCGTTACATGAAAATGTGCGAATAGCATGTTCTAATTAAATGCAAATCTTTAAACTTTTAGTGCTTTTGTGTTTAGTCGGAAAACATGAAAACCATAAATTTTTCTTCTAAGAAAGGCAACGTAGGACCGAAAATGCTAGTTACGCAATTACATAAACTAAATCTATGAAAAATCAATAACAATTTCTCGAGATAACTAATTTCAAAAGCTCTCAAAAACATATTTTTAGGTCGATGCTTGATAAATTAAAATTGTGAAAAACTTGGAACCTTTGTAAAGTTATGACAAAAATTAGAAGTTTCCTTCTTTTATTATTGTTCCGGCTTTTGATACGAAAGTAACGGAATATTTGTGCTCGGGGTGGGTTTTTTTTTTCTTCAGACAAATTTCGAATTTTTAACTAGCCACTTTTGACTGACTTTTTTTAAAATCATTCGAAAGCTATTGTTGTTCTGAACCTTAATTTGAAAAGATATTTGACCTGTAATCATTTTTCGTAAAGTTATGAGGGTTTAAAGATTGCCATTTTGACCAATTTGGGACAATTAACGCGCGATATATTTCGCGCTATTAACGCGTAAGCGGAGAGTTAATCCGTCTTAGAAATCGTTCCAAATTGGTTAAAAGAAGCTTATTTGCCATAATTGATTTGTTACAAGGAACGAAATCTATTGTTTTGTACTTTATATGGCGTGTGGGGGGATGATTTTCTTTAAAAAAATTCAAATTTTAGAGAAAAAAAAATTTTCATTTTATTTTATTTAATTTAATTTTTTTATGTTGTTTATGTTATTACTGCTCCATAAACGTTAAAAGGCAGTCGGAACTTTCAGGGCTTCGCCCTGATACGAGCAGTTTTGTTTTATTTGCGTATGACGTATATATTCAGGTCGTTTTCAACGCATTGTAAATGCAAGGCCGTTAAGCCTTTGGTGAATCTAGCTTTGAGAAACCAGGGTTTTTGTCAGTTGTGTTAATCTTTTTCTCTTCGCTTCTTCTTTGTTAAGTAGATTAAGTTAGTCAAATTTTCGACCAATGAGCATGCAGCAAAATTAGAATTCTCCATAGAACGCTCTAATGCTAATCTACTGAATTTATGCATAGGAGTGGAGATTTTTAAATAGAAACCCTAGGAGGGGAGATGTTAAATAGATCCCGGAACTTCAGGTAATTCAATCAGAGGAAAAAATATATCTGTTACATTAATGAGGCTATTGAAAGCCAATTCCCAAACGTAAAATAAATTTTAACGAAGATTGAAACTTTTTTCGTCAAACATTTTTTTGATTTTTTTTTCACAAACTAACTGTGAGCAAAACTATCTATGGCATGACACAACAACGGGCTACTTTGGGATGAGTAAGTTTTAGTTTAGGTAGTTCATCTCGTATACAAAAACCACGACCTGTAATTTTAATCAAGTTTTTACTGAATCATGTTCGAACCAAATGTTTGAAACAATTACACTCAAAGCCAAAACAATCTTTATTCAAGTGTTCTTAATTTATATCTTCTATACATGTTTTGAAAAAAAATCACTAACTTGGGTGATTTTGTTTTCTCAAGATTAAAAGTCTTTTACCTCAGCTCAAACTAGTAATTAAATTTATCGACAAAGGTTTTTCTCTCGTGCCTACCAGTTTCCTTCGTTTATATTAATCGTTTGACCTTAAAATGTTAGCGACTTTTTTCAATAGTTCCAAAATAGAATTTGATTGTTTATGGTGTCTGAACCGGATAAAAATGCCGGTGTCTATAACGAGTAAAAAGCCATTGCTTAAAGTTTCTGAAAGCTGTTAATGTGTCAGGAAGTTCATGGTTTTGTTCACAACCTCTATTGTTTAAAGTTGCTTAAATACTTGATGCACCTCGATTTATTTCATTCAATTTCTTCAATTATTCTAGTTTTTTGAAAACTGTAACATCTGTTCAAATCAATTCGAGAATGTTTCAGTTAATTGCCTTCGCTGTGGCTTCGTTCGGGCTTGCTATTGAAGCTTACCCAAGAAAGCCAGATATAACTGAGATTATTAACGGCACAAATGTTATAGCTGGCGAGATACCGTTCATCGTCAGCATACAAACATTGTGGGGCCATATATGCGGAGGCTCAATATATAATGCAAAAACAATCATTACAGCAGCTCATTGCTTGGGTGAATCTGCAGACAGGTATCAGATATTGGCTGGAACTACCAACTCCAATGATAGAAAACATGGGCAGCTCATCAGAGTAAAAAGTTATACCATCCACTCCGGTTACAACTCATATGCCAATGACATTGCTTTGATTTTCCTGGATGGAAGTCTGGCATACAATAACTATGTTGCGCCGATTAATACTCCAAAATCATCTTTCAGTGGATCATCGGCTATAGTTGCAGGATGGGGCTTGACAGAACCTTGGACCACTGATTCCCTGATGGTCTCCGGTAGAAGTAAATCGCTGCAAAAGGCATTGAAAGAAGCTACTGTTCCGATAGTTCCGCTGGATGTTTGTCAATCATATTGGCCGTTCGTAACAGGTGCCCAGCTTTGCACTGGTGGCACTGATGAAATCACAAGTGCATGCAATGGCGACAGCGGAGGTCCACTTTTCAGCAAAGACTCATGTTTTAATGACGCCGGAAGCTGTGGTTCTGAGTTACTTGGAATTGTGTCCTTCGGAGTTCGCGGATGTTACTCTGACCAACACTATCCGGAGGTTTATACGAATGTTTTCGAATACGTTGATTGGATTGTAAACAACGCTTAATAAATTCAATTTTTGATATTTACGAAACAACATGTTCAATAATTTCAACTATTCAAGTCGTAGTAAAAAATGTTCGATCAAATACTTAAAAATGCTCGTGAGAAATTTTATTTATTTTATAATGTAGATACTTCGATTTAATTTTTTTTATTTTACATTGGTTCAATTTCGATATAAACTTAGTCTTACCAGTGCTATCTAAATCAACCCTGCTTGTTTTAGGTAGGTCAAAATTGAGCATTGCATATGAAACTCTTCTCTCCGTTCGAGTTGACTTTGCCAGTTCCCACGAAAAGTTCCCACGCCACGTTTCCAATTTCAGGGAAGAGATTGATAAGAGAAACCGAAATTGGAACGTGGTAGTGTTGACAGGGATGAAGGGACGTAATCATAAGACGTAGTCATTAGGGACGTAGTTTTAGTTAAGTCACTGCGTGCCTTAAATAAAACTAAAATTAAATAATGATTTGAATTTAAAAAGTATTGGAGAACCTCCAAAAATTAGAACAATTATAGCAGAGACAGTAGATAATTGGTTCTCATCAGAGTGACAAAATTTATTCTTGAAGCTAACAAAACCAGTTAAAGCACTTCAAAAGAATAGTGATCCGTAGAGATATTATTATTTTTAGCAGGCCGAGCTGGGTGTTTTAGTGAAGTTGTTGTGTGCAATTGGTTATTTAGGGCTCTCTAGAAAGAGATAATTGTTAAGTTGAGTTAGTTGAAGTTGAGTTGCAGTTAAAAAGTTGTGCTGATAAATCGCGGACCTTTTCCTCTTTATTAGTTTATAAGGTTATATCCCGGATTTGGACTTGTGTACTTGGACTTATAGTTTCTGAATTTAATTAGGATTGGATATTCTTTCGATTGTATCGTGTGGACGAGACAGCCTTCAAAGCAGTACACAAGGAGGAAGCAAGTACCATGCTACAGTACAGAATAATTGCCACCAACTTAACCCTTTTGGGATTGTAGTTAGTAGTGAATCTAGGTTGCCCCGCTGAATTCACTACCCAAGGAACCACTTTGCGGTGTCGTTAAAGTAGAGAGAGAGAGAGAGAGAGAGAGGAGAGTACGAACGTAGGGAAGCAATTCCCTTAATCTACAAAATAATTGCCGAGCAGACGATGACAGAAAAAGACAGTCTGCTGCAGCCAGTCAGGCTGGTAAGTAATGGCGAGCTTTTGGGCAGCAAAGTTGGAGAAGTATGCTAAGATATTGGGGACTCACGGTCAAAAAATAAGTCGAGAACTGCGACTTAAGAAGATAATTTACGAGTTGTATCACGACCAAACTTCGTACTCGCGCCATACTGTTTCTATTAAATCGTGCCACAGCTTAAATGGTCTCATGGCCTCCTTGGTCGAGGTTGTGCTTTTATGATCAGACGGATGTGACAGAAATTGGATATTTTTGGATCACCGCGACCAATACTTGGTATTTCCAGACTTTGCGGACCGAGGCAATGTGTCCGCGACCGGCGCGACCGAAGGAAAAATAACCGCGATCGGCACGACCAAAGGAAAGTTAACCATGACAGGCGCAATCGAGAGAAAGTTAGTCGCGGTGGTCAAAAAAATAGTCCCGGTTGATCGATAAATTAGTCGCGGCGGTCGAAACCTTTTTCGACCATAGCGACTGAGATAGCAGATGTTATCCGCGATTTAAAACCCTGTCCAGACTAGGGATTTTTGGTCGCGGAATTAACTTTTCCACGACAGACAAAGTCGAAAAATTCGTCACGCACCTCGACCTGGGCTGACATGACTTAAAACAAAAACGTTGGCAGCGCGAATTATAAAAAGACTTCGGCGTGGTTTAAGAAATGATTTTGAGCACAGGTTGGTTTTTTCCACTTGCGTCAGAGCCTGTCGCCTTTTTCCAGTGCCTGTTGCTCGATTTTTTTCTGTTGTGCCGTTCTGGAATTGCCAATATTGTGTCAAATTGCTGTTGGAATCTTATGCTAGTCATGAACACCTTGTGTATTTGTAACTCTTCTTCATTTTTATTCAGCTTCCATTTTTTACACAATTTTATCTAACAAGAAATGTTCTGTTTTCAAGAGTTTCAGGAGCAAAATGCTTTTACAAAAAAGACCAGCTTTTAAACAGACCAGCTCTTCTAAAAAGTCAGCTGTTATCTTAAATCAAGTTATAACGAAGAGCTGCAGCTCGAGAAAGGTGGACAGCATTATGGCGAAGTGCTTGACAGCCTTATAGAAAACTCTACATACTTGTTGCAGTTACGTTGCAAAAAAAAAAAACAGTCAGCCTTGCGAATATTATTCGCCGTTTTTTATTCGTATCGTTTTTGTTGAATATGATGAAAGCTTTCTGTCAATTTAATTTTAATGAATTGAACAGCTTCAAATCTTGGTCTTTTTTTTATTTTTCCAAAATTGCTGCGGATAACTTCTATGGTTTGGAAAAGCGTAGCGTTACAGTTTAATTATATTTCCAAGCAACTGTTTTTGCCAATTTTATAAATATATTTTTTTAACGTTTGGAATCAGTATCAGGTACTAGATTTTTCCCCTTAAATAACTTTGCTTACAGTGTTTGCTCGTAAAACTGGTTAAAAAAATGTTACAATCTCAAAGTCAAGCGAATTTGGCGAATTGTTAACACTCATGCTTGAGGCAACAAAGTGCAGGAATTTTATCCAGTCGGGACCTAATTTTTGCAAACTATCGTCTCCCTGCTTGTTTTTGTCATCCTACTTTCCGCAGAAGGGACCTTTATGAAAGTCTTTTCTAGTGCAGTAAATTTTTTGGCTTTTGTAAAAGATTTTTGAAAACTTTTTTGACCAAAAAAAAACCATTTTTTTGGAAGTTTTTGTTTTAAGTTTTGATTTTTCCTTTTAATTAATTTTAATCATTTGTTTTGTATGGCAAGTGGTTCAAAGCCCACTTTCGCTTCTGAATAAAAATTCAAGTCGAATCTTGCTTTATCAGAAGTCTCCTTGAAGAAAAAAAATAAAAAATCTAACCGAAAATTCAGTTTGACAATTCAACAAGTTTGAAAGTATTAATTTTGAAATAGAAAAAATTGAATGTTAATTTGGATTTTTTCATCCTATGATAAAAAACTTCAATTTTTTGAGTGTCTTGACTATTCAGTCTTTTTACTCTTTTCGACTTTTCACATTATAGAGTCGGCGTGCGTGAACAGTCGACTATGTCGTCAGCATGTGTGAGCAGTGAGAAACGGCATGAGCTGGGAAGGTAGTATCAAGAACCTATAATGCTTAAGGAGCAAAAAAAGCGTCTAAAAACCGCAGCAATTAACAGAAAGTCATAAAAAGCAACTATTAGAAATGAAAATGAAGGCAGTTGAACGTAAGAATAAATCATCTGATGTTTACGAGGAAAACAACTTGACAGGAGTGAGTCCAATAGAACTAATGCTTGGGTAGTTTTCTGTTAGTACATGAGTGCCACCTGACAATACTTCGGCTCAAGATTTTTTAAAGCCTGCTTCCAAATACGGAAAATGTCAGAACCGACAAATTCTGCCAGTCTAGTTCATGCAAATAACACAAGTAATGGTTATAACCAAAAGCACGGAGCATCGAGTGACCCTGGATTCTATAGTCATGAATATCGGGCTATGCCTCAATTTGGCATTGCAAGCTTTTTGCTATTGCAGGCTTCCACTCTATCCGTTTCATTCCCAGTTGGCTATATACATTCTAGTGCACAAATTAGACACCATCATCTGCTGTTCCTAAACAGATCATGAGTTCAAATGTTTAATGGTAGCTTCTAACGACCAGAAAAAACTGAATCACTGCTTGTCCCAACGTTGCCGGCACTGCCCGGTACTAGTTTTGTTTCATGTCACCTGTATGTTCTGGTGGTGACTTCAAATCATCTGGGGTAAACCAGCCGCCTCCACCGGTTTTTTTGTTCGACACATCCTTGCCATGATCGTCAGTGCAGATGCAACAATTGTAACCTCTGTACTGCAATCTGTGTCGCCCAACCTCAATGACTACTATACAAGTAAAGCAAAATCACGACGGTTGGCAACTACAACACTAATTGTCATGCCTGTTCAATGGTGTAATGATGAAAATTTTTTTTCTTATTCGTCAACTGTTATCCCACTGTGTAACACAGTCGTCCCCTTTACTAGTGGTGAGACTGTGTACTTTGAAACTCCGTCAGTTAATTCTCAAGAATTTCCGCTTTTTGTCCATAATACTAATAATGGTTATCATCCAGTCAACGAAAATTACGCAATGTCTTCTGCTAACCTTAACGAAGGTTGTTCATCGGTAAGACCAGTATCCGCTCGTGAATTGGCGGAATAAATAGTGCATAACCGCAAAGATCATCTTTCTGAATTAAATTTAGCACAGTTCGACGGTTATTCGTTAAACTGGCGCAAATGCTATGGTCAATTTGAGTCAACCGTTAATTTTGCTGTTCTCAAAGATCACTCATCACAGAGAAAACAAAAACCGAAATTGCGGAGTTTAGCTTTAATGGCGTTATTATTTATAAAGATGCACAGGCCACCTTGCAACGGAAACTTGGTCAACCTCAAGCTATCCTTAGCGCGCATCTCGATAAGCTGAGTACGTTTCCACCCTTTAAGATGCATATTTCAGAAAATGTCATTAGTTTCTCTTCTGCATTATCTGGTCTGGTAGTCGTTCTTAAACCATTGTCATTCAACAATGATCTCAAGAAAGTGAAACTCTTAAATCACGCTGTTAGTAAACTTCCACCTAATCAAAAAGAAGCTTGGTCCATGCATGCTATTAGACAAAATGGGCAGAGCTGAACACTTTTGATTTTTGTTAAAAGAAAAAGACGAGGGGCCTGAGAACTTGTATTCAAATTGAGAAAAATTGAGAAATAAGTTTAGCAAAAAACAATTGAAACTTCTAGTAATCAAGCTATCTGGTAAAACGCAGGATAAGTCTAAGTTTCCGTAGTAGGGTTTATGTAAGCGTAGTCATGCACTATGAAATTGTGCTTTTTTTAAAGAAAG